AGAGAGAGAGAGAGAGACAGAGGGGCAGCAGAGACAGAGAGACAACTCAAATCCAGCAAGACAACACTCCTCGTACACCCTAAACCCTAAACCCTAAACCACCATGAAACAACACCAAACCCTAAACCCCAAACCACCAGGAGACAGCATCAAACCCTAAACCCTAAACCCTAGAGAGCATCACTGTTATTAAGTAAATAAAACCCTTACCCATTAACTTCACTGCTTCCTCCAGGGCCTTCTGCTCCGCCTCCTTAGCTATTTTCTTCTTCTCCTGGATCTTCTTCAGTCTGCAGCGCACAAACCCTAAACCCTAAACCCTAAACCCTAAACCCTCAATTCTAGACCCTGAGCCTGCAAACATGAGGCTTCTTGCAAAGCAAGGAAACCGATGCAAACAGAGGAGACACCGTAAACCCTAAACCCTAAACCCTCATTAATTATTATCTCCTTGTTCCCGCCAGATAGGATTAGCATTAGTTTAGATTAGATTAGATTAGGGTTTAGGGTTGTAGATTCAATAACCCTAAACCCTTATTATTATAATTATTTATATTAATTATAACTAATGAAAGGCCTCAGCAACAAGTACCTAAAAAACTCTTCTCGTTCCATCTCATCCAACTCCTTCGTTATGTACGTTATGCTTTTGTCTAACTTAGGAAGCACCACCTGCAACACAAACCCTAAACCCTAAGCCCTAAACCCTAAACCCTAAACCCTAAATATTAGGCATTAAACCCTAAACCCTAATATCGAGCAGTTGAATACCAACCGCCCATAAGCAGCTCAGCCATTGACAACTCCGCAACAGCGCGGCGAAACCCTAAACCCTAAACCCTAAACCCTAAACCCTAAACACTAAACCCTAAACCCTTAACCCTTTTGGCTGACGTTGTTGAGCGCATTGACGCGTCGGTTTGTCATTTTAATCTCCGAGTCCAACGTGAAGAAAGCCGTCTGCAAGTAAAAAAGCACCCTAAACCCTAAACCCTAAACCCTAAACCCTAAACCCTAAACCCTGGGCCTGAATGTTTCTTTTTTCTACAGTCAGCGTCGGCTACGCAGTGGGTGTGTATGCGAGGGTTTGTGGTGTCTGTAAACCCTAAAAGGAGTATAAAAAAGGTAGAGCATGCATATATTGAGGTGTATATACACCTGAAGAGATGCCAGCTTCACCAAGTCAGACAGCGCCTCTTGATATTTGTCGCGGGCCGCGAGGATTACGTGGCCGCCAGCAGAGAGGTTTATATTCTTTAGAACTGCGACGCACAAACCCTAAACCCTAATTAACCCTTATAAACCCCCCTAAACCCTAATTAACCCTTATAAACCCTAATAAACCCTAATTAACCCTTATAAACCCTAATAAAACCTAATTAGCCCTTATAAACCCTAAATAACCCTTATAAACCCTAATTAACCCTTATAAACCCTAATAAACCCTAATAAACACTAATATGCATTAATAACGCCTAATAAAGCCTAATATATAATATATATGTATATGCATATATATGTATATATGTGTAGAGTTAAAAGGAGACATCAAAGGAGACTAAAGGAGTTAAAAGGAGACAAAAGGAGACACACTGTCGACAGTAGGATCTGTAGTAACCTGAAAGACGGGCAGCCGAACCCCAGCGACGTTATCATAGGCAGCAGTAACGAACACCGCAGGCCGCTTAATGCGCTGTACATACACCCCAAACCCTAAACCCTAAACCCTAAACCCTAGACCCTAAACCCTAAGCAATAGACAATAAACAATAAACAATAAACAATAAACCATGCGCACTAATCCCTAAGCCCTATACCTTGCACCCTAAGACGTAAACCCTAAACCCT